CTGCCTGATCACTGCATGTATAATTTTCATTATGTTATTGTACTGGTTAAGTCTACTCAGTGGCTCTTCATCCATTTCAAGTACAGAACAAACTCCTTAGTGTGGCCTAAAAGACCCTTATAATCTCTCCATCAGCACTTTGAGCCTTCTCACTAAATGGGATCCTCTGTCTTCCACTTCTGAATCACATTTTCTGAATCCCTGGGCATTTGCTTATGTTCTCTGGCATGACATCTCTCCTTCCTCCTAATTCTCCAGACTGACTCCTACTCAGCCTTGGACTTTCAGGGGTTTTGTTTTTCTAGCAGACCAACTGGGGATTCTAAGAAATGTATTCATTTCTAATGTTGTGAGATTTCTGTTAGCATGTGCAAGAGCAGCTATTTTCATATAACGATGTTGCGTATTATTAACATTTTTTGTTCATCATTAGCCAATGTAATACTCTAAAAATTAAGGGAGATCTTAGGAGATAAAGATGAGCAGAAGACAGCCTCTGCCCTTATGGAGATCACAGGCTTGGGGGTAGGCGTAACGAGTAAGACGAAAAGTCATGCAATGTGCTAAGCACTCTGAAAGAGCTGCACAATCACCCAGGGCCACATTTCCTAGGGAATTACATGAAATTTCACACATTTAACCTAGGAATTTGAAGCACTGGTAAAGCTTGTCAGAAGGGAAAAAAGGAAAAAATTCTGTGTAAAGGAGATTAGCACATTGTTGTAATAAGTGGCCTTACTATTATTTCTTCATTGACTAGTGTTGCTGCTAACACTCCTGTTTGATCTTTCTTACCACTTGCAAGGACACCAGTGAATGAGATGTCCCCGGACAGTTTGTTTTAGGCATACTCATTTCATGGCAAGGGTGGGAGTAATTTTGTGTTACTTTATTTTCATTCTCATCAAATTTTGCAAGTCTTTTCAAGAGCAGTGGTCTGTGTAAGTTTCAATCAACAAAATCGCAGCTCTTTTAAACCCTGCTGATTCGGGCATTATCACCATGCAAAGCTTCTTGCTTCCTGTGTAGACACAAATGTACGTAACAGTCAGCACTGGTGGTTTTTATCTGGGGTGTTTGGACATATTTACATTTGTGCTTAGGAAAGCATCTTTCTGATCTGTGACAACAAACTGTGAATTCTACTAGGAAAGAGGTCTTCAGAATATTGGCAAGGTTCTCATGTGCATTGGAATCTCTATGTAAATATCTTTGGGGTCTGTCTGTGAAACACATATGTTCTTATTAATTGATTGCACGTTAATAAAAATAACAAGTTGACAGTTGTAACGCTTTTCAATGGAAGTGCTAGTATGATATGATAAAATAGGCTTAGGTAAACTTCTGTTCTGCTGGATTCTACTTCTCTGAGTTTACTTTAAAATGAGATAATTTCATGATGATTTAGTTATAGACTGGCTACAAAATTTAATTACACTGATTTTACATCATTCCTCATCTTACAACCCCTGCCTTTTGACAGCTCTTTTATGTTACTTTTTTTTTTTCTTTTTTGGTACCAGGGATGGAACTCTGGCCCTTGTGCTTGCGAGGCAGGTTGCAGAACCATTGAGGTAAATCCCTGGCCCTCAGAGATCACTTTCTGAAGAAAAAAATCCATTAAACCAGCAGCAACTCCTTGGAAGGCCCCTGGTAGACCAATGGAGTAAAATAGCAAAGCAGGAAACTCGGAGCCATTTGGAATCAACAGTAGTTAACATTCCTCATTTGAAAAACACAATACTCAAATTGTAATGATCTCCGTGCTTATATTTCTTTCTTTCTAGTACTTTACTTTCAATGACCTATTTTCTTTCAATTTAAGGGCATTAATCTATAATCTTTTTAAGAAGAATGAGTCTGTGCAGGATTCTAGTGTTACACATGGAAATCTTACCCAGTCTGCCTGCACCAGCTCATCCTCACCAGAGGAGTAAGCAGCTGTCCACATCTCATTTTAAACGCATGGCAGAGTGTCCCTATTATCCCTTCTCCACTGCTTGGCAACCCTGTTCCACTCACCTACATAGTCAACTTACTAAAAATCACTATTTTGCCCCTTCTCTTGCTGAGTTTCTTAAAAACTTTGATTCATTCTCAAATGATCCTTTCTCTCATATTTAATTTGAAAACAAAAGTACCCAGACATAAACATTTCCTCTTCCCACCAGGAAATCTACTGACCCACTTGTATGTCAGCCAAGGCTTGCTATGGTCCTTTTGTTAATATTAATATCCCTGACAGTATTTTAAGGTGAACTCTTCTGCCTCCGATCCTGTTTCTTGCTCTCGCAAGGACTTTGCTTCTGAAATTCTCTATTCTCTGCCCCAATTTTTCTCCTTCTAGGGGAATTTCAATGCCCATATGAATATATTCTAACACTTCCCATTCCAAACAAAGACAGGCCCAACATACATCTTCCTCAAGCTACTGCACCATTTCTGTGAATTTTATAGGCTTAGTTATTGCTCTTTCCCAGCCTACCTGCTCTCCTCAAGCATGTGTGACTAACAGTCACAGCTCTGTCCTATTTTACTTCAGCGCTTGGCATCCGTCAAGACAGTTTACCAGCTTCTCCTTTTGAAAGCAGTATCTCTTTTCGATAGCTGTTTTCAGCTATGGTTTCATAATATATCTCCCCCAAACTCAGGGGCTCACAATAGCAATTTATTATTTCTAGTGAGTTTATGGATCTTGTGTATTGATAACATGTCTCTCTGTTCATTCATGCTTTTTGGTCGGCTGTAGAAAACGTGGCTTTCTGTCTTAGGTTGGTCTCTGTAGTGAGGGTTGTGGCTCATTCTAGAATGGCTTCAGCTGGAACAGTGCAAACTAGGAGTCTCGCATGCTCTGGCCAGTACCATCCTATTATCTCTGCCCCTCTAGAAATCAACAGAGGTGAGACCGGGGATTTAGCTCAGTGGTTCTGTGACCTGCTTCACAAGGTCAAACTTCCAAGTTCAATTCCCAGTACCAAAAACAAAAAAAAACAAAACAAATTAATGGAGGTGAAGCAAAGAGAAGAAAAGTAGTTTTTTTATTCCTTTACAATTCTGTAAATTATATGATTTTATTTTCAAGAAATGAGTAAGAACTTAATGGAATGAATCTCCATGTTGTAGTTTCTGATTGTATAAAAGATCAAAACAAAGAAAAGAATTAAAAGCTTTATAAGTACATATACAAAAAAAAATCAACTTTTTAGTATGAGAAGGCTCTCAAATAAATGAGTTATCTCTTTTCTTATGTAAATAAAGTAAAATGTGGCAGCTTTACCATCTGTGAGATGTGAGAGTTCTGGGAAAATGACTCATTCAGTTATGCCAAAATGTGAAACTGTATTTGGGTGTAAAAAATATGTGAGCCCCGTAGAGTCCAAGGTACTGGGGAGAACCAGAACTCTTTACAACAGGGAATACAGAATAGATAATAAGGTCATTGAAAAATTTAAAAATACTACAGTAGTGAATGGAAAAGTTATGAGTAAACACCGCTCTTTGAAGTTAGTTCACTTTAGTAACTAGAATTAATCTTAGAATACCTGTAGAGTTCAACACCATTTTTCAGATTAAAACACTAAGAATTAAGAACTCCAGGGAGGGCCAGATGTACAGTCTCATTCCTTTCTGCTGTGCTGTGGCTCCACTTTATTTCTGAGAACAAGTTATATACCAACTTTGTGTTTCCAAACTGTTTAGAGACTAAACATAATCCCATGTCCTGCATATACTCAGAAACTTACTTTGGGTATCCTTGACAGTATATTTTAACTTTCATATCCCGAAAATATACATTTTAGTTTTCATGAAATAAGATAAAAACTAACTCCTTTGCTGTAAGGGAAATCACAGGGTTGTGCTTTTCATAATTTTCTTTTCATACAACAATTTTTTCAATGGCCAATTTCATTCGTTGTACATATCTCAGCTCTGTGTACAGAGTAACTGAATTCTCCAAATCTGTGTTGAAGTGGAAATCTTCCCCGACTTGTCCATTTTGGAGAGACAACTTTGATGTCTACTCTCTTCAGAAGAGGAACACATGAAGGAAAGCTTTCCTAAGAATATTGGATACCTTTCTGTTCATTGAGAAATGAGGGCATCTTTTTTAGTAATGGAGGAATCTACCACCAAAAAGTGTGAAGCTAACTTGATTGGTTTTCCTCGCATCATTAAGTTTCTAAAAATAATCGCAATTTTCTTTCATTTATCTAATGTGAATATAAAATGAATTCCCTTCAGATATTAAATTTTGTGGGAAAATGATAATTAAAATTTATTAAATAACTTGTTTGGTCTGGAATTTAAATTTCTCTGCACATATTATTTGAAAATCAAAGACCTTATATATTCATGATTCCTGGTGATATATGTAAGCAACTTTCAAGGAAGACATTGAAATCACTGCCTGGTTAAAGCCCTGTGCCATCCCTATATTCCCTAAGCAACTCCAGGCAAGTTTCTCAGGCTTTGCATTTATGCAGGGGGACACTAGTACCACTTATACAATAGGTCTGAGATGATTCATATATTTAATAACAAAGTACTAGCTAATTTATCTTAGTTATTTCCAAGAAACTGGGCTAATGGTATGCAAACTCATGCCTGGGAACTCACTTCTTTATACAAACAAAAATAAACCACGCCATCTATTCTATCAGTTTTTTTTCTTTTAAAATACAATAAAATCTCTTGTTAGTTGAAATATACATAGAATATAGCTACGGGTCCATTTCTCTCAAGATTATTGTGTAATCCATTCTTTCTCTCTTCTCTCCATGGACACTTTTAGAATTTAGTTTTTTTGAACTAGCAATGACATCTTAGTTTCCTCATTGATTAAAGACAAAAATTCTTGACATGTTCATTTTAGATAAGTCATAATTATAGTCCTTTTTAAAATTATCTTTCAGCAGCCACACCTAAGAGCATATTTTCTAAATTGAGGAAAAATCTAAAAAGGCTATCACGATTATTTTCCTTTCGTGTGTCAAAAAAAATATTATCTGCTATCTTGACTTTCTCCAAATTAGATGACAAAGTCACAACTGTATCTGGAATGATAAAAAAATTTGTTTAATTCAATGCCTACGTGTGAATTATGTCACACTGAAGTTTGCATATGTCCAAATAAGAAGGTTAACATTTCAATTCTTTAATACAAACATAAAGCTACAAGCAAGCGGGAGGCACCCACACTTCATTTATCACACAGGGTGTTGTTCATTTAATTGGTGGCTCTGTAGTTAACGTGGATTTCTGGTTTCATGTCACATACCATGCTCAAAAGCTGTGCAGTCACGCTCTCCACACACCGGTTGTAGCTTCCATTCAGCTCTTGTATCTTGTGTCGTGTTTGGTCTTCTAGTTCATCTGAGATGTTGCTCTGAGAGCCCATTGTCTACCAAAACAAAGGACGGAATTCATTATATCATACGTCACATCACCATTTCTTGTTTTACAAACTTTAGCCTGCTGATGCAGGGTTGCTTTCGCTATGCTGTACACATTACATATACTTTTCCATAACCTTCCACCAAGACTTGGGAGTAACAGGTCACTTCCTCCTCTTCCCCTCAGCTCTCCCTTCTCTGCCTCTTTGTCCTTCTCCCCTTCTTCCTCTGACTGAGGAGGGAATCCAGAGCCTCTTCCATGGGGGGGCAAACATTCCACCACTGAGCTACGTTCCTCAGTCCTTTTACTTCACTCCCTTTTGAGACATTCTCACTGAGGTCAGCCTTAAGCTTGTGATCCTCCTGCCTCAGCCTTCCAACTAGCTGGGGTTACAGTCATGTGCCACCGTGTCTGGCCCAGTTTATTTTCATTTCTAACAACTGAGGTCCACATGGTCCAAATTTCATACCATTTTGCAATCATTATCCATGCTCAGAAGTTCGATTCCATCACATTTTTTATGTACTTATAATACTTGCCATTCTATTCTATCTTCACCTTTGCTTATTTACTGAATTACAAGTCTGGAAAATAAAATTGGAAGACATCAGTCCCACTTTTCTGTTTTTAAAAAGCAAATAAGTTTTTTTTCTGCTATTAAAATGTGTTGTGTGACTTCATGTTTTTCAGGAGGATGTGACCACAAAATGCTGTCTACAGTACTTTCAACATGAACAGTAAAGTGTGTAGTGTGTGTGTGTGTGTGTGTGTGTGTGTATATATATATATGCATAACACATGGATGTGTTTGGATGACGTTGACATATACATAATCTTGAGAACTTTAGGGTAATTTCAGTTTTTTTTCCAAATTGAGACATACCCGTTTGTTTAGCTACATTACAACAACTTCGGACAGTCAAATATGCCTTTCTGAGTGGTCTTTACCTGGTATTGATTCTTAGTTATTTCCACCATTGCCTATACCCTCTTAGTTCTTTGTCAAATTATAATTTGACTACAATATAATCTCACTAGGAAAATTAACAATTTAAAGGATCCCATGAGTGGAACACTTTGAAAGTTAAACAATCAACTCCTAATTTATCTTCTTTGTAAACTCAGCCTTTCATAATAAATGGCTTTGGTAAGGCAATGCAGCTGTGTCTGTCTTTATTCTGTGCCTAAGGACAATATGCATTTGATGCAATCCAAGAAACTCCACTGACTACTGATTTTTACTACAGAATTGTTAGACTATTTTAACTTCTAGGATCCAAATAATCCTTCTGGGTCCTAAGCTTAAAGCCAAATGCAATTGAGGCTATTGAGGTTAAATTATTTTCTGTAGTCCAAACAGGGACAACTGGATTCAAAGAAAATAAGGTTGAGAAGATAGAGCCTCTAAGATACCAAGTATCTTTTACAAAGTAACATTGTGGTAAGTGAATATACAAGTAGCAAATGCACACAGGGACCAAGTTCATTTATTAAAACGTCTGAACATATAATGACTTATCAAATTTCCCCTTAAATGCAATATTTGAAGTGGGAAAAAGTTAAAATTTAGCTGGCTAGGAAATTTACCTATGCTGAACGCATATATTATACTGAACGCAATAACTAGCTCTCCAGATGTTACAGAGAATTCACTACCTGTTTTCTGTTACTCAGGTTGGCAAAAGCCTGTTACTTGAACATTTGGGAAATGTATACATTAGAAATTGGTAATTCTGTACATTTGATCAAAAGACGCCAGTTCAGAACTTCTCCATGTTGATTTGTGTAGCCTTTCAACCTAATGACTGATGGTACCATCTTTGATTCAGTAACTTTCCATATAAGTTGATTTTAAGAGCTTCAATTCCCACAGTCATAAACAAGATTGAACTCTCACTTCTGGGATATAAGCTCAGAAATTTAAAAATATACAAAAATTCTCAGTGTGCCCAAGGAAACCATTGTTAGGCCTTTTGCTTAGAAAATTTGTATTAACAATAAATTTAACTTTCCATGGGCCAGGTTCTTATAATGTAAAAACTTATTCAGTAGAAGCTGCTATATTGGGCAGCAATGATAAAGGGGATAAATAAAACTTTGTTGAAATAATATTAGTTGATATGTAATTTACAGTGGGATTCCTGCTTGCATCGTTAAGGCAGAAGGCTTGAAAATTCGTATGTACTAACAGGAGCTAAAAAGCAGTAACAGAAAAAGAAACATTAGGGTGCAATGCCCACAGCGGGGGGAAAGCTGGTTTCTTGGGTGTCCTCCCAGACCTCCTAATTGCCCTGGGTTAATGATGACTACATTTAATGGCTAGCAACATGCCTGACATATGGAGGTCACGCCAAGGAAAGAGGATCTGCACTAATAGTGTTACAATATGCTTGAAGTAGCAGACACTTCGACACGCTGACTCCTCTATGTGAGCTTTTGATCAACTAGCTGTAAAATTGACTTGGAGCTCTAATTATGAGAGTGACGAGGAATTTTAATTGGGTTTCAAAGCAGAGACCAAATCCTGCACCAGATTTATATCTGATAGGATTCTTCTAGGAAATAGCATTTCAAGAGGCCTCGCCCAAACACTCTTTCAAATCGTGGTACTACAATGCTAAAAGGAGAAATAAGTATCGTATCAGAAATACCCTCCATAAGTCTCCAAACTGGTTGTGAGTGATGATTATTCTCTCAGGTCCCACTGTCATAATTTTGATAGAATTCCACAGGAAAGATAAGGCCACAGAAAAAATGTCTGGATAGTCATTATTCCAACAAATATTTATTGCATGACTATTACAGGGGAGACAAACTCCCTCATAGACTCTATTTTAAAGTCTAGAAAAACTGTAGAGAACAAAACAAAGAATCTACTGTTTTGGCACTTATAGTTCAAAAGGAAAGAGGCAATAAATAAAACTAAATACATATTAAATCAGGTGGTGAAAATGCTATGAAGAAAAACAGTGGACCATAATGGAGTATTACTTTATTTGGAAAGGAGGACAGTTTTAGATAAAGTGATCAGACTAGAAGAAGGAGAAAATAAGACAAAATGTGTCCAAAAAAGAATTACAGGGGTGAGAATGGTGTGTGCAAAGGCCCCATAATACCTGCATGTTCCATCTATCCTTTGGAAGAGGAAGAAAACCAATATGGCAAGGGTAGAACAAGTAGAAACAAACAAGGCTGTACCAAGTGTGTTTATAAGTATGCTGAAGGAGGGCTATACACCCGTAAATGGACTAGGATTATTGATATTGATGAAAAGAATTTATTTTTGTTGCCAGGCGTGGTGGTGCATGCCTGTAATCCCAGCACTCAGGAGGCTGAGGCAGGAGGACCGCTGTGAGTTCAAGACCAGCCTGGGCTACATAGTGAATTCCAGGTCAGTCTCAACTACATAGTGAGACCCTGTCTCAAAAATCCAAAAAAAAAAGAACTTATTTTTGCTGAGTGGTTTATTTATTCCAGGAAGGGTTTTTTCTTGAAAGAATTCCATGGAAAAGTTTCCCATAGTGGGTTCAATTTAGTCAGTCAAACCTTTTTGGGGTCCTATTACCAGTAAAATAAAAATTGCAAATAGATTTTCAAAACTTGTAGCTCATTTTTTGCAACATCAACCTTCTGAACAGAGCTTTATATTTTCACTGAAAGATAAAGGGATTATCACATAAGTTTTAAGAAGGTGTCCTCTCTGAAAATGAAATGCACTGAATACTTTTACTGCAAATTGCAAATATTTAAAAAATGATAGTGCAGGATAAAATTTTGCATTTTAATGATAGATTCATTGAATGAAACCACCAAGCTGCAAAGGAAATACAAGGCTTTTGAGCAATTCATAATATCTACTTTGATAATTTGTACATGTGGCAACTACCAAAGGAAATTTGGACTAACCAACTCATTCTGTAACTTAGCAGGAGCATTTTTATTGCTTCTAGGTTTCTGAAGTTTTTTTTTCTTACAAAAATGTGTTAGTCAATTTTTAGAAGGGGGCTGGAGATTTAGCTCAGTGGTTCTGCTGCCTGCCTCACAAATGCAAGGTCCCGAGTTTGACCCCTGGTACCAAATAACAACAACAATAATAGTAATAACAATAATAATAGTTCTAGAAGGAATGATGCTTTGCCCAATCCCTTCAACTTAGGTATGTGAGAGTACGATTTTTAAATACACACTGTATGTTACTAACCAGTATTGACTCTTTTTAGGATAAGTTAAAAGAGCTTTGCAAATGAAATGTATTAGCAATTCTCTTTAAGATTCAGTTGTATGTTCAGCAGTGGGGAACTGGATCTGCTTAATGCCAGTAATTTCTTCCAATACTTTACCTTACATTAAATGAATATTAATGTCTTCTAATCTATGCTGCGTAAAAGTCAGTGCTGAGTTTCTCACCTTAGACTCTCTCAGCCGTAACTCTTTCTCTCTCTCCATTCTGTACTGGTCGATTTCTGCCATTGCTTCTTCTTTGGCTTGCTTCAATCGTTTCCCTTTTCCTAAAAATGAATAGTGACAGAGAAGGAGTGGTATTTCTTTTTAATATACGTGAACTGTTACATTTGACTTTAATTTTCCTAGAACGTCAACTTCATGAAAAACATTAAATTTTCTTATTTTTTCCATCGGATTCTTTAGAACATGAAAATGACAAGCTTCTTTCACACTTACATGTTTAAATAAAATATCTGCCCATTTACTCACAGCAGTAACAGCCAGAGAACAGATTTTAGCTGTCACTTACTCGAAAAGATGTTATTTGGTCAGATTTTCTGTCCTGATTTGCTGCCAGGAATCCTTCAGTCCACAGCAACTGGATCCTATTTACCACTGGCAGGGCTCCAACACTGCTGCAAACATGCAGCTCAGACTATCAAACTGGCGCAAGAAATTTTAAAACATTTTATTGGGATTTTTCTTCTTACCACTGGGTACTCTAGAATGTCTGATTAAGCTCACAACACATCAAAGTAGGGCTTTATTTTTATTTATGTATTTGGTAGTAGCTTTCTCGGAGGGGGGGGACTTGAAAGTGGCTGTAAAACCAATTGTTTTTAATGGTTAGGAGATTTAGTTAAGTAGCCATTTTTCTTTTATTAAGCACAAAGGTGTAACCCTTAAGCCAGCAGACAAAGTTGAGGAAAGTTTTAGACAAATACAGTACATTAACCAAGCACATGAGTTTTTTGTGTCAACCAGAAGAAATAAGTTTTAGGGGTTACAGACTCCTCTGCTCTCACCATTCTTTACCTTCAGGGGCTTAGGTGCTAGTGTTTTGTGATAAAACTAAAAAACGGAATTGTACTAAAATTCATGTTTTTCTTGATTAGTACCAGTTTTAGTGAAATGCTTTTCTTTTCTCTCCATTAATATGGTTTATTTCCTACAATAGTGTCTCAAGCTTTCATTTGTAACTTTGATTAACTATGTTACAGTATAGATCTGAATTAGATAAATTTGTTCTCATTAAGCAGCGTGAAAAAAATCTTAATATAAATTTTATTATCCATTCGTCTGGTGATGTGTTTATGTTTTTGTACCTTTTGAATGCATGTTCTAAAATTTTCTCCCAGTTATGTGTCAGCTTTGCTAGTTGCTGAATATGTATTTGGAATAAAGATAAATTCACCGAGTTACAAATTGAAATGTAAGGGAATGGAGTAAACCTTCAGAGGTTTTCTATGAACAGAACAACTAAATGATACATTGGCAGGAGAAACTATTCTTGATCTGTCTCACTTTATCATTGCTTGTCATTAACATCAGGACAAAAATATATAATGTTAATATGTGAACACTTTCTTGGAAATAGTGAGCTGAGTGAGGCATACATGAGCATTTTATAAAAGAAATGGCACAAAACATCATTACTGTCCATCTTAAGTGCACACTACATAAAAATATTAGCTTCAAAGCCATCTCTCTAGAACACTAAAAAAATAACGATAATAGCAAAAGCTCTGTGTGCCCTACTCCTGAGCAGAGCCCAGCACTCACTCTGAGGCTGTGTATCAGCTCCGTCACATGGCGACAGTCTCAGAGTGTGTCTGTGATTCCCCTGTCATGGCACCAGTCACCTGCTGGTTCTCATTCAATTAAATAGGAGAGCCACGGGGAAATCGCTGCTGGCGCAGCAATTTTCTGGCTAGATTCAGCAGCTGCTGCTGGGTGAGAGCCTGCATATGCTACACCTGATTTGATCCAGTGGCAGAAATGGGAGCCTAAAGCCTACCATTCTGTTCCAGGTGAAGCAAAATGCATGTGTCAAATCTGCTCGTATTAACCTTTAGCTTGCTTCTGTTTAGAAGGAGTGCAAAATTGTCAAATTATACATATTTTCTAAGTTTGCAGTGAACAGAAAAGAGTTCATATTCTTATTCTCCGTACACTCAGTATAAAAAATAGGATGACCATGTGGAACATTCCAGATTTCATATGTAACAACTGAATCTATGTTCAAGGATATACAAGGTCATCAGGTCAAATTTCTGCTTTTTGGCATTGTGATTTTTAAATTAGGAAAGGATGGGTTTTATTTTATGCTTCCATCATTATACAATGCTTATTCATCACCTACTATGTAAGCACAGAAACAGAAAAAGGACAGAACTGCATATCTCATGGTCCTTGCTTCCAGGTGGCATAAAATCTGTGTATTTTGAAAATGTGTACCTGCTGCCCCAGCTTCCAACAGGAGAAGTGTAAAACCACAGAGTATACAAAATTAACTGTGAAAATAATGAAACATAAATCTGAGTTCTGCTTGTTCTATAAGAGTGAAACATCACAATACTTATGGGGACCTCCAAGTACAAAAACTCTAGAGAACCCGTGCCTCTCTTTCACCCGAACTATCATGCTGTTTGGTATGCTAACAGGGTAAGCTACAGATACAAACAAACCTGCCCAGGTTATGTATCACGGGAGCCCCAAGATGCCCACACCAGGGGAAGTCAGGAGAAACTTCTGGAAAGGGAACCATCAAGTCAAGTAGACTTATTAGCCAAAACAACAACGGAGGTAGACAGGCCATTCTATGGACTGAAAAAGGGCAAGATCTTAAGATAGTTTTGGGGACGTCATAAATAGTTGCACTTTTAGACATGCAACATGTCACACAGATAGGTTTAGATTTAACTACAATATATTTTATAGAAAAAAAGATGTTTGCTATGACTTTTAAGTGATTTGTAAGGAAATAATTTGGGGCAAGAGTAACTGAATTCTCCATAGGAGACAGAGGATAATATTCAAAGACAGCACATCTGACCGACCTGTCTAGGGTGAGCCTAATGAACTGTGACCCCAAGAAGCACATAATCCCTTGAGAAAGGTAAATCCACGCTGTTACTCGGGTTATTACATTTGTTTGGGAATCCTTTTCTGATGATGAAAATGGGGTTTCATTTATCATCTCAGAAGAGAAAAAGAATCCTATATACTAGGCACTACCAGAAGAAAACATTACAAGCCTTGTAAACTTTAAGTTATTTTGAATTTTTGAGCCTGAATTTTCAATCAATAAAACAGAGCCAATACAGAGCAAAGTATACTGTAGTTATATGGGTCTTGACAAAGAGTAGTTGTTTTTAATCATTAGGAAAACAGGCTCCTTCTTGCTAAGACAAAGGTGGCAAACAAGACATGAGTTTTAGAACAGGTCCTAAGGCTGTCACTCGAGAAGCGCCTGTAGGCCTCCCTGAAAATAACCAAGAAAGGAAATCAGGACACAGCTGGGCAGACAAGTCTGGAATTCACAGGAAGGTCGGCAATGGAGACGAATGTGCTTGTCAGTCGCCTGGGTTTGGGTAGGAGCCAGTTATGGACAACAGTGTTTGGACCAAAATCAAGGGAGAGTGTGCAGAGTGAGGGGAGACTGCTAAAGTCTCCACCTGGGAAAAGATCAACATTCAACTTTCAAGAAACAGAGGAGCCTGAGGGGATCAAGAAAGGACAACCAACAATAACATCTCAAAAAAGGATATAGCCAACAGGATTAAAGGCGATGGAGAACTCAATCTGGATGCCTTGTATGTGCCAGATCTATGGAGAGAGTAGAGAAGGTCTCCTACTTCTTGTCACGGTTTCTGCTTTCGGAATGTAGTTCAGGAGAGAGAAAATAGACCATAAGAACAGAATGTGATGGGGACGTTGAGTACCATGAAAAATGATAAAGGAACATAAGTGACGAAGGGAAAATGGTGGTGGGTTCTACGTGAGGCAGGCCAGGCCCTTGGAATGACAAGCCATGGGAGCAGAAACTGAAAGCAAAGCCTGTTCTCGGCAGAGAGCAGTATGTGCAGAACCCTTGAGGAGGAAGGGTAGAGGCATGCTGCAGAAGAGCAAAATAGCATCTATGTAGCTAGGTGTGGGTGCACAGTCCTATAATCCCAGCACTCTGGGAGGCTGAGGCAAGAGAACAAATAGTTCAAGCCCATCCAGGCAGTTAAAGCAGCGTTAGTGAAACCTTGCCTCAAAATTAAAAGCAAATTTTATTTTTGGTACTAGGGAATCGAACTTGGGACCTTGTGCTTGTGAGGTAGGCAGTGGCACCACTGAGCTAACTCCCTGGCCTTCAACTTTTTTTTGCTAGGTAGGTGGTGGTGCCACTGAGATAAATCCCTGGCCCCCTCGAGTTTTTAATGGTTGGGAATGTAATTCAATCCTTACTGCAGAAGAAACAGGCCAGGGATTCAGTTCAGTGGTGGCTTCCCCTGTCTCACAAGCTCAAAGTCTTGAGTTTCATCCTGGTACCAAAACAAAACACAAAACAAAACAAAAACATAACCAAGCATGAGACAGAAATGAGTAAAAAAACGACTCTAATATTTTACTTTGTGGGTGGAGTCACAAATATCACTTTGTTGTGATGTCAGTTAAACGTCTAGTAGCGATGCTGAGAAAGCTAATGTTTGTCTGAGTTTTGAGATCGGAGAAGCAACTGAACCAGAGAGCTGAAATACCAAGTTTGGGGTCATCATCATGGGTCATAAACTATAAACTCTATGAGATAAGCCAAGAAGTGTCTGCAGAGATGGAGAACAGGTGCAAAGTGGGACTCTGACGTCAGAGATTGAGATGGTACCGGCGGTCAACAATGAAGGTGGTGTCCTGAAGTTGAATGAAGGAAGAATTTCAAAACTGAAAGAGGGATCTCGTTGTGAACCATACTGAACTGACATCAGGTTACGAAGCATTGATCTTAGCAAGAGGAGCTTTGATGGAATTGTAAAAATTTAAGTTTACAGGAAAATACGATGAAAAAGAAATGTGGCCCCAGAATACAGGAAATTTCATTAGAAATGAAGTGGGACTGAAAAAATAAGGTAAGGTCAAGTGAACTTGAAAACTACAGAATGCTGTGAATTTGATTGTTCATCTCCAAAACATGCTGAGCCTAATTCTTAGTACCCGAGAATGTGACCTTATTAGGATTTTTGCAGATATCATCAAATTAATCTGAGGTCATAATTGGTTAAGATTAAACTACTGGCATCCT